TGCTTCGCGGAACAGCCTCTGTGTTTAACAGGATGGATCGGGCTAAAGCTTGCCTAAGTAGGGTCCGCATGGATCATCTTATCATATTCAGAAGTCGTTACTTAAGTCTGGTGATAAGTGTCTAATTGATCGTTCTAGATCTATTTAGGCCAGCGAACATACGCCTCGGCCATGGATTCAACAGAACCAATATACGATTGTAGTTCTTATACTTGATATCGATGATCAACTTGTCTATGGGTTGATCTTCTCGAGACTTGTGAGGGGAACGTTGATAGTTTCGCGAAGCTCTTGTATAGTCCCTCGATGTCCTTCTAGATGATGATGATCTGGATTCAGGTGTCCTTCGCGCTAAGATGCCTTCGCGAAGCTTCCTCTGCGTCCGTCCGGGGAACGACGATATGACCTTCGCGAAGGCTTCCGTGATGTCTGATGGTCCGAGTCCACAACTAGGGATGAAACCGCGATAAGGTGATGATCTATCCTGCCTTCGCGAAGTCCTTCGCCCGAAGGCTGTACATCTAGGTTCTTTCGCCGCCGCGAAGGCTGTACATCTAGGTCCTTCGTCAAGGTGGTCCGTGACTTCCTTCAAGGTGACATCGTCCTGGCTGCTACGCTGACGGGGTGCCTCTGGGTGTTGTTCACGTTGGAGCCTTCGCTGAAGGCTCGGACCCTGCTACCGCAGATATTGGTCCTCCATGATGTTCATAATTTGTCGCATCATGTCTTCTGGGATGGTCTGCGACGCAGGTCGCCGGTGCTTTATCTGCGGTGTTAATGGAGGGGTCCACCGAAAATCGTCCGACATCAGTGTAGAGGCATCAGGCTGCATGGTGATCTCTGCTGATGTCGTTGTAGCTGTCCCCGGTCGCTTCTTGTATGCATGACGCCGGGATGATGATCAGCTGATCATCGTAGAGGTCCAGGTCATCGGCTGGAACAATCTCGCTGAGAAAGTCCTAGTAGACTTCGCTGATTTTCCTCAGAGGTCGACGCTGCCCTGGGTGCGCGACGCCTGCGCTGAGTGTTGGTAATGATGGGACCCTCAGGACGATCATCGCGATATCGCGCTGGTACATCAGGCTGCATGCTGATCTGTGCCGACATCGGTCAATCTTTGATACATCCGTATGATGACCGGCTGATCATCATACAGGCCCAAAACTTCGATGGGAACGGTCCCGGTTGTTGAGATGTAGTAGAAAACCCTCTAGTCTTCTGCTGCGACGATGGGATGTCTGGGGAAGCAGGATGCTTCTTGGAGATGGCGGACTACGCCCCACACCTCTCCACCACTCTAGCGAACACCACACGGAGGGGAGTCAGCCAACAGCAGTAGACTGGCGAGGGTTCCGTATCAGTCATACTAGACTCTGCATACGCGACCTATCTGCTTAAAGCGTGCCAAACATAAAGCAAATATTAATAAAAGGTAGAATTGGATAAATTAGTACCGCAACTGCAATGTGAATATAATAAACATGGCCGTACATCATATTAAAGGCGGATCAGCAGCAGCATAAAAACGTAATCTGCAATAGTACAGAATTTTCATCAACGTAATCCACTGAAACAAAACACGGGCCCCGTGAATAAACTGTAGAAAAACGACTAAATATCAATATATAATCGCGTTGAAGGATACTAGCTAAACCTCTATAGATGTCTATAACGAGGTAACTAACTAAATATAATTCAAAGGATATAGTGTGTCGGGAGACACAGGCGCTCTCACGTCCAGCTCACTGGGCGAAGAAGGAGAGAGTGAGGCACATGGGTAGAGGTGGCGCCCTCGTTCCCGCGCTTGTGGAAAGGAGGTAACTCGTGGTGAATACTAATTAGTGATTTTAAATTGAAGGGAGCTTCAATTAGGGAGATACAAGTGTTCCACTATGTTCGCAAGAAGAAGAAGACAAGCAAAAAGAGCATGAGTCAGGATAAGGAAAAATAATTTAGTTAGTCAATAATGGGCCGTCAATCAATGTCTTGGCGGTTAATCCTTTGAAAGAAGGACGTTGTTTTTACGCAGACACCGACACGGCAGAGTGTATTCAGTATAGATTAGTAAATCTACATACATAAACACTACCTTTTGACAATTCCGCTGTGTAAGATAAAAGTAATTAATCAATCAGCGTGTTATCGGTTAATCCTTTGATCGATGTTTATAATGTTGAATATTTACTCCAGAAACAAGAAATGCCAAATGGGAACCTTTGTCGGGTAATCTAAGTGTGTTACCACTAATTATACCTGTTATAAATTCATTAACTGACCATCAAGTGAATGGTGACAAATAACATGTGTAGGTTTATACCACCTAACACGGGTTACAACAAGGGAGTATTAATTGCTGTATTGCATGTGAAAACTTATGGGCCGACACTGTTTTGAGAATACAAACAGATTTTTACATGTCATGATTAAATATCGATTTAAAAAAACACATAAATGGGATCGATTTGGATCAGTCATTATACAAATAGGGCCTAACGACACCAATCGATTTTGACAGAATCGTCTATGAAAACAAGTTGTAACTCGGAAACTAGGCAAAGCAGGAGACAAAATTAAATGACAGTAGATTGTGAGAACATATAGCTTTTATTTTCCACAACAATTGTCACGATTTCAGGTTTATACAAGCCTGTAAACAAGATAATTTAACCCCTAAAATGTAGATGAATTATGCATCGGCCCTCAAAGCTATTCCTCATATGACGTCACATAGGCGCGCCGCTCTGATTGGTTGAAATTTCGTTCGCGGGTGAGAATTGTGCACTGTTGTCAAAAAGGTCGATTTAAGTCAATTAAAGGTCGAAATGAGTAGTTTTAATGACGGGGTTTCATTTATAACGATGCCAGTTAGAGATTTATGTATTTGTACCCCCTAGGGTTTATGTGACCTTTAAGCAGGTTTTATAGTGCTAGCTCACTGAGATACCATGCCGCAGTGTAGCATGAATACACCACTCAGACACATTATACTGACTCCGAGCTGACTAGTCCTTGTACCCATAAATGCCGAGCGCTAGACAGGGACCACAGGTACCATATTTTAACATCTTTTGGTTTGATGCGGCTGGGAATCGAACCCACAACCTTCCGTTCTCCAGGCAGACGCTCTAACCACTACACCACGGAGGTGGTCAATCAATTACTGTAATCGTATATATTTTCACTTGGTGCAATTTTCCCTGAAAGTTCACAAAAGACCTATTAGCACAGTAGTATTTTCGTGCATTTCAAACGCCTGAGTGGTGGTGTCCATCACAAAGTTTTCACAACCCATAGACATGCAATGATCAAAGCTAGCCGCCATAATTGAATCGTGTTTTTTGAAACAATCAGAGAGAGGTGGGATTATACTTGTGTCAACATTATGATTTGTGACAGATGGAAGTGAGCTTCGTTCATTTTGTGATTACGAGTAATCAGCTATCAATTAACTGACAAACTGATAACAAACATTTGCTGATTGTGATCGCTATTACTAGTAGACTAGTATATGCCTCTATTCCTTAATAAACAAATTGCATGTTGTTCCTACTTGAGTATTTGTCATGACTTGACCATGAATATTTTGCTTGGTATGATTATTGGCGAACAATCATTTTGCGCTAAAAGCCCGAAAATTAATCCCACGCGAAAATAACTACGATTACAGTAATTTGGTAATTTGGAATCCAACACAAATTCCCGGAAAGGATAACCCAACATCATAGAAAGCCTCAGTTGAAATGTTGTGCATCATAGCTCATCAGTGAAATGTGATGGCCCGATATGATCTCATCATGCTTATAAGTGGTAGGTCAAATCTTCTAATATTGTAACACTGAATGTTTTGATCTGTGTTAATTATATGACAGATTATTTCATGAAATGTACCATAACCTTCTGAGAAATACTATCTCTCTCTCTCACTGCCAAAGGCAAATGTCTTCATATGTATTTGTGCAAAATAACCTCACAACGTTTCGAGACCATTCCAGGTCCCTTCAAAAGGTGAACGAAATAACACTAAAAGACTTCATTTGTATTGTTTTCAAGCATGAAGAAACAGAATGGCACTTTATAAAAACCAAATATTTCTTTCTAATTCGTTCTTTGTTTTTTCATAAATACTTGCATCCCATCTAACATGCTCAAACTAAGTGATCGGGCTCGCTGACTTGGTTGACACATGTCATAGTATCCCAGTTGCGAAAAGATCAATACTCATGCTGTTGATCACTGGATTGTCTGGTCCAGACTCGATTATCTACAGACTGCCGCCATATCGCTGGAATATTGCTGAGTACAGCGTCAAACAACAAACCAACCAATCAACATTAATGAACATAGAGATTTTTTCTGGGTTACATCTTCTTTTTATTCTCGAGTACAATGTTTCAGGGCTTGTTCTGGCCCAATCATCAGGTAAAACTGAACAGTAACTGTTAACTCTGGCTGTGACGTCACAATGCTTATGACGTCACAATGCTTATGACGTCACAATGCTATGACGACGCAATTCTTGTGGTGGTCAATAGATACAGATGACATGGTTAATAGAATACATGTTATTATGAATATATAAGATGCCGTTTACTGCAAAATTAATGGATCAATTTAGAACTGTGCAGATACTTATACAAAATTGTTGATTGATTTAGAAATGTACAGAGACGTATTTATAAATGTATAGAATGTAAAGTAATAGCAGTGTAAACATAGACATTACGCTTTATACATGGGAACAGTGACGAGGGTAGGGTGTCATCACGTTCTCTATCCTAGACAACCATCATGACCCCAATGCACTCGTAGACCACCTCAACAATCAACACCCCAGAATTACAATAGTTTTACCTGATGATGGGGCTAGAACAAGCCCTGAAACGTTGTACTCGAGAATAAAAAGAAGATGTAACCCAGAAAAAATCTCTATGTTCATCAAATATCATCTTCTAAAATGCCAATCAAGCATCAACATTAAACTAAACACAAAACAAACTTACAAACTTCATTGAAGTCATCAAATGTGATTTTCCCGGTGCCCTCTCGGTCATAGTCTCTCAGTATTTTCAGGACATCCGCTTTCTTCACATCGAAGCCCAGCGCTCGCATAGCAACCTGGATCATCAACATATATTGATGTCAATTTATGGATGTCTGCATGACTGAACAGTGCCTGAAACTGTGTGTGTTCTGGAATGGTGCAAGATGTTGTGCAGCGTTACCGCGGGTGGTGCAGGGCTCCAGATAAAGGCCATATTGGCGTATGTACGGATATAAAATATGCACGATACTAGGGGTGTCGCGATACGCGAATGTATCGATGCATCGATACATTTTTACTGACGATACGATACGCGATACATGCTTGCATGTATCGATTCCTATTTTAAAACTTTATCGATTCAATTTTTTATGCTATATCCATCTCCTTCAAAGTCTTGATAGTAAAATTATACGAGACCGCTCCGATAAATAGATGTAGCTAGCTTTACTTAAAAAATAGGTTGGAAACTAACAGCTTTTGTGATTGGCTAGACTATTTTGATGGACCAATCAGCGAGCGCGTACGTTGCCGGTAAGGTAATGCTATGAAAAGGCGCAAAAATTATGTATCGCGATACGTATCGTATCGTGACCTTAAAATTGTGATACGTATCGTATGATTGGTGTATCGTGACACCCCTACACGATACAATAGGAAATAATTTAGAAAATGTAGCAGATATGCAGCACAGCAATGGTGTATGGTCTTAGAATGATTTACAGACGTGTTTATCTGAAAAAGTATTGTTTTATTGTTTATTGACCTGTTTACGCAAGAGTAGCAATGTTGTGGTGCATAAACGAAACACAAGATTACTGATACGCCAATAACTTCCATTCAGTACTCTAAATGTACTCTTATTGTTTTCCAGTACTCCTATATTGAAAAAATAAGGAGTATGTACTCCTGATCATGAAAAATTATCTGGAGCTCTGGTTGTGTACAGTTTTGGGATATGGTACGATGTACCTCGGTGGATGAGATGGATTATTTGCTGGTTGTGGTGTGAGTTGATCTGACACGGCTGTAGTATTGCTGTGTTGTAGCTAGCATAGGCATTATGGTGTTTTCATGTTGCTGGCTGTTGCCTTTGGCCTGCAAGTTACCTTCAGTTCATGGTAGTCAATAGCCCGGTCCTTGTCTGTGTCAAACAGGTCAAACGCCTCTTTGATTTCCTGTTTCTGTTCGTCTGCTAGTTCTCGCTTCTTCTTCTTCTTGCTCTTGTCCAGGGCAAACTCCGCTCTGCAACACAACATCACCGCTACAACTCAACCGTATATGTTTTGTTTCTTTGTTGTCTAACACCTCACTCAGCAATATTCCAACTACAAACATTGTAAACATTTTATACAGCTCATTCTATTGTTATTTCTTGATTAAATCGTCTCAATTAATTATCTTGTGTTTCTAATTAACAAGTGTGATGTTCACCGACGTGGGTGTCAAGCAGCCAGTAAGGCACGCGCTAATCACCTTTCATGTGTGATGTTTGTTTACGGTCGGATTATTCGACCGGCTGTGTTGATTGTCTGATAAAAGGATGTTTTTTACAATGTATTTACAATGATCACTTGCTAGATTGGTAAGTCGGTGTTGGAATGCGAGAATGTCGGATTAACGAGAGGCATTATCACAGTTTTAAATGGTTCCCTAATTTTTTGTCGCATTAACGTGATTGTCAGATTAATGAGTGTCGGATTAACGAGAGCTGAAAGTACATGGCAGAAGCCAGACAAACCAGTGGTTAACATCATCAGCATCGCTCTACTCAAATGAGTTACGATGACAAGTGTCAATCAAGTCAGCAAGTCTGACCACCCCATAGTCGCCTCTTACAATAAGCATAACTGAAGACCAATTCCAACACGGAGGATATCCATGGGTCTCAATCACATGTGTAAAAGCATGCCAGTAAACCAATCATTGATCAGTGTGTAGTGACCCTTTGATATGGATAGCATGGATAACACTGGGCCCCTATTCTCGAAAGGATCCTAGCCCTAGGATATCAAAACTTTGCTGTGAAAGGTCAATGTCAAGGGGGAAGTAACTCCGATTCTGTTTATTTCCTAGGTGAATTTTTCAGTTTGTGAGATGATGCATGATGAGAGTTCAAATGATGATTTTCATTAAAAACAAATACAATGAAAATATTTTTTGCACATATATTAGATATCCTTATTGTGTTTTGTCAGACTTTCAAACTCTGAAGTAGTAATGTTATCGCCTTGTCAAAAAATGAATTTTCAAAAACTTAAAAACTACTATATAATGTGATGAAAATATCGAATAATTTCTTCTAGATCTACTAAGTCCATCAAAAACTGAAAATCCTCATATTATGTGTTTTTTATGAAATGAATCATGGGTAATATTTAGGGGAATACCCAACTTAATGAGGGTTTTTCTATCTCACCTACTGAAGAGCTCGCTAACCTAGCTAGGATAGGCAGCACAACTTAGGACAGGGATAGGATCGTTTCGAGAATGGGTCTTATCCTAACAGTAGGATGTCCTAACTTCTGTCTTAACTACTGGTACTCAGGATCTGTCTTAGCTGGGACACTTTCCATAAAATAGGGGCCCTGGATTGTCTGGTCCAGACTGGATTAATTACAGACTGCCGCCATAAAGCTGGAATATTGCTGAGTGTGCCGTTAAACAACAAACAATCAGTTTCATCATGCATGAAATTATAGATTTGATGTTATTAGGTAACGGATAGTGTAACAATGTCATCAATGTTATGAATTAATCAGATATATCTGGACATATCCGAAATATTTCATAATGAGCAGCAGGAGCTACTTTTAAACTCCATACAACAATGCCACACCTTCCTTATCAATTAACTATTGACAAACATTTCAAATGTTCTATCGATAAACTGGTCAGTTCACTCCAACACTAATTTCACACTGTTTCTATAGCTACTTCACAGAGTGAATCGTCACGATATGGCTGAAATATTGCCGATGTGACGTTAAATTTTAACTCACTCACTCACAGAGTGAAATAACTTCTCGAACATATATTATTTCACAAGATCTATAATATTATAACATGCCAAATAAAAAATATGTTGTGGTTCCGATTACACCACTTTAAAATTTAGGGTAGGTAGGTAGGAATTTTCTTTTTTACATATTTTTTGGGAAGTAAAGTACAAACTAATGACACATTTATAATGTGTAATTGTTTATTTAATCAAGCATGCAGCCATTATGATGATCATTTGGCTCTTCCATCAGAATGACAGATTCTGTCAGTGCCGGAAAAAACAATGGTATCTGAAAGGTTATTTTATTCATACCGCTTGCAAAAATAGGGTTGATACCATTTTTAATGAGATGACCATAAAAGTTATTATCTTGAGACTTTATATCTCAGGGACAGTCTGTTTGAATTTTAAATTAGTAGACTTATTTTGACTTTCACTGAACAAAATCCACAGATACAAAACTTGCCATTTTGTTTGAGAAGAGCGTGACTGGGATGTCTTGCTCTGTTTCAACATCCACTGCGATGGCGTGTCATTGACATTCGATGTTTCCTTTGCAATTTCTGAATTACAATTGCCATCATATGACCCCGAAACGGTTCCCGAATCTTCTGTCATTTTTAAAATATTTATTTGTGTTGAAAACTGAAAGCATTCGCGACTGTTGCTTCAATGCCTTCACAGCAATAGACGATTTTGCTCCCATTATTTGGATTGGATAACTACCTTCAAATTCAGTTACCGCCCTTAGGTACAGAAAATTACTGCTAAGGGGCGTAACTCTTAATGTATAGACAAATACCATGACTTGAAAAAGCTACGTATTACAAGCTCCATGCATTGATTTAGGCACCACACTGGATGTTGGAAAGCGTGCATAGTGATGTGAGGATTACGAATGCCGATTGATTGCTAGAAAATGCAAAAACAAGTTGAAAATATTGGGAAGTTTATGTATGATTGTTATAAGTCACTTTATCTGTATGGCGCGCCAACTGGACCCACCAGGTCAAGGAATTGTGTGTCATTTTGTACTTATATGCACCAATGCCGCAAGGGCGCGGTCTAAAATAGACATTTTAAAGTATTCACATGTCAATGACGTCACTTAAGAACACTTCCGCATCTTGCTACTGATGAGTACATACCAACATAGTTATCAGCTTTCTTCTTTGATGTTAGGTGTGACTGTTGTTTAGGTTTGATTGGATGTTGGGTACACCTACAGAATACAGGATACCTACCAGTACCAGCCATATTGTTTAGTGTCACGTCGCCCTCACCCTAACCAAAAGTAGACTCGCGTGCTTTCAAAGATTGCGGAAGGTATCCGGTATTCTGTAATCTTACCGGGTATTGATCTGTTAGAAAACATTCAGACTTGGATGTAATAATGGCAATCACAGTTGTATGCATGTGAAGTAAGTCGAACGTCGAAAGTTTGACGAGTGTTGTCATTATTGTTTCCTTTGAGGTAAGAGTTCCTCCCGTTCCCCCCATCGCAAATAATATGAATAAATATTCTAGAATTATAAACAAGACTTAACACAACAATTACTTGAGAACGAGACTCACAAAATGATTAAAAGTCCAAAATTTAAGTTAGGGCTAGGTTAGGGTTAGGGTTAAGTTTAGAGTTAGGGGAACGGAAGGAACTCTTTCCCTCCAATCACCTACACACAACCAATCCTTTGAAAATATAGTATGTAAACAATCGATGACATGATCGCACATGTCACAATTCAAGTTACACACAGTGACAAGTTACATTTTCCAGTTTTGACAGAATCACGGGTGCTTTTGCAACATGCAATTGATCAACAGTAGACAAAAGTTACATATGTTTGCAACATAACGGAAATAATACAGTTTTTTTAAGGCAAAATATCACAAACCAGTGATTACCTTAGCGACAGACTCATCCTTACTCTTAGGTCTCTAATGTTCAAGTTGATACTCGCGCGCCGCCAAATAACAGTTCATTTAGAGCCGCTTCGCCGTATCCAAGGTAACTTATAAAAGCTGGATTTGTAAGTGAATTGCGGTTATCGATGAATATTTGTAACTTTGCCCAGGAAACTAGACAACAAATACTGTAGTAGGCCCTGTAGTATTTTAAGGTAATAAATTAATATATTTGGGAAAGCTCCTGAAATAAAATTGACGACTTTTCGAAAATTTCAGGAATTATTCATTACAACTTTTTAAATAAACCAGACAAAACAGCATCTCGTATGGGATTGAAATAATGCAGAAATTGATTTATCCTCTACACATCTACTTGCATAAAGATTTTATTTTGTGTCCTTTGAAATGTATGGAAATGTTGCCCATGCTACGACAGAGCGGCTTAGGAAAAACGACTTCCGGTTCATAGGTTTACTACTAGACTGGTTTGTCCGCCAAAGAGCGTTTGCGCTCTTCGCCGTAGCCGTTAAGAGGCGAATGGAAGGATACTAGTCTTGGTTGAATACTTTCGTTTTTAATTGACACTTTAACTTTTACAAACACCCCAAACATTTGTCTATTCATCTTTCGCAATTTAGGATGAAAAAATACTATACGATTAATGGCACAGTTAATTTTATATCACGGTCGATATTCTGTCTTCGGTACTGTCCGAATGCCCATGGTACGACACAGCGGCTGTCAGTTTGACTTCCGGTGGGATGATGGGAATTCAATCCCTTGTCCATTTAAATGCCATTTTAACCTTTGTACGTAACCTGACATACTATGTTCGGTTGTTTGACAAGGAGTGAGATAAATGTCAAAACTAGTGTGGAATGCAGTCAATATTGTCAGTTGTTCTTTCATATGTTAGTAAATTAAAAATCATCCCCATGATACGAAACGCTGGCTTGATATCATTCACTTCCGGTGCACATTGCTGTAAACAAAAACAGACATGCCGCAATTAATTGCTTTTGCGTAATATTCGACACTGGAAAAGTTATCACGGCCGTTGCATAATCAAACAGAAGACACTGATCTATTAATCAACAGACTTGGAAGCAAATCTAACTGACATGTACTGATTCCGACACCATGTAAACATCGGGAGTGGCCTCTGACCACCGCTATCAGCAATCACGAGTGCCAAATCTTGCACCTGGCAGTGGCAGGTACACATTTTATCCTCTAGACTTTAGAAAGTGTCGTTAACTTAAGTTAAGCTATTATCTTTAATTAAGTCAATGCTGCGTTAAACATGTCTTTCCAAATTCTGGTAACGAAGCCGTTTACCGGGTAACTCGTTAAAGCTCAGACTGTCGACTGTGGCTCTCGCTTCGCAGATCTCGCGTTGTTTGTGTCAAGGTGAGGCTAGGTTAGCATTGTTTCTTTTGGGATCAAACACTCCTTTATGTCAGGGTTAGTACCCACTCCCGATCAAATACCTCTTCTCGATGCATATGGATTTCCATTACTTTCCATTAGATACCCCATTACAAGCAATAATCATGATGATGATGATGTTGCTTACCCCTTTCCATTCAAATACACTTTGATTTTTTGGTTATGCGCTTCTTGTCAATCAACCGCCCCTTTACGGTCATTAGGGTAGGTAGGATACCCCTTTCTGATAAAATGGGATGTAGTCAAAAGGGCCGAAGGCCAAAAGGGCCAAAATTGAAAAGTCAAAAGTGCCAAAGAAAAGTCAAATGAGCCAAAGGAAAGTCAAAAGGGTCATACTATGACTCATAGATCAAATTTAAATAACTTAATAAGAACATACAAACTAATATATATTTTATTATGTTTGTATCAATATGTAGCAATAATAGTAATAATATGTTGTCTGATCATCATACATTCAGGTGTTGATATGTGATCATATGTTCATATGTACTTTAATTTAGTTTAAATGATCATAATTCACACATCTATAAGTTCACTACAGACAACATCACTCCACACATCAGCAGCTGGACTTGTAATGGTAGGAGGCTGGATTCCTTGTGGAGGGCTGGGATCATCTTGTCATAACTGCTGTCTTGTTACAAGCAACACACTTTACATATATGGTTACCAATTTGAATTGTGGTTGAACTATTTGTCTCATATAGCATTCTCAATCATGAGAATAATCACAACCAATTAAAACGATATTCTTGTTTAGATTACTGACTAGTTAAATTGTCACCAGTGACTCAGTTAAAACCTTTTGTAACCATTATATAAACAGTTGTACGGTTGATATATACTAGTGTACTCATAAGATAAATGCTTTGCCTCTCTGAGATGTTTACTCATAAAATAAACACTTAACCACACTGAGATGTTTTAAATAAACAAAACTGAGACATTCTGAGATGTTTAGTATTAGAACTACTGCAACAAAATACAAAGCCAGACTAATTTTATTTCTTGTTTTACGGATCCACTGGTTATAATTTTTCAAGAATAAGAACAAAATGAAAATGAATTTTCTCCGCTTAAAAAATAAAATCCTTTTGTTTTTATTGGCCAAAAATGAATTTTTTGGGGGGATTGTATTTTGCCCCACATACACTTCATAACTTGCCAGATGCAGATACTTTTCATGTTTAGAAGGAATATTACTTTGACTGGGGATTTTATTTTTATATTTTCCCCCCTCCTGCCTTTAGGTTTTCGGAGGACAAAAATCCATAAAACAAGAAATAAAATTGGTCTGGCCTGATGAATTTCTTCTAATCTTACTATTTTCTAAAAGTTTGGCCCTTTTGACTTCTTTGGCCCTTTTGACCTGTTCCTCATGAAATAACCTTTTATGATTCTGAGGTTTTTGTCTACTTGTGAATCAAACGCACTATCATGAACTATCTGTTTTTACAATAATGCAATTAGGAAAATGTGGACAATTCTCTCTCTCCTCCGACCGCCTCCATGGTAGTAGTTAGAGCGTCCGCCCTGAGAGCGGAAGGTCTTGGGTTCGATCCCCGACCGCGTCATACCAAAAGACGTTAAAATATGGTACTTGTTGGTTCCTGCCTGGCGCTCGGCGTTAATGGGTACAACAAGGACTGGTCAGCTTGGAGTCAGTATAATGTGTCTGAGTGGGGTATTCATGCTTCACTGCTGCATGGTATCTCAGTGGGCTAGAACTATGAAACCAGCTTCAGTCTGGGCTAGTACAAGCAGATACACATACACACGCATGCACGTCGTCATATGAGCGAAATATTCTCAAGCACAACGTTAAACCCAATTTCACCTCACCTCACCTCTCTCTTCTCCATTATTGTACATACTGACACTGCAATCAGTACATAGGTTAGACGGTGTGTGTTGTTTGGTTGCTTGGTTTGTTACATATGTTATACTTGTTATTACACTTTCTCAGTAAAGTACATATTTTAGTACCTTTGTCGGCTTGAGTCCCATCCGGGATTCGAACCCACACCCTCAGAGTCAGTCACCTAATTGCAAGCACACAAAATCAGCTGCCTAACTCACTCAGCCAAGCGACATCCACAAAAATGGAAGTCGGATAACTGGCATTCTAGACCGCAGACTTTGTGTACCCCTCTGATAGCAGGTGTGGAAATAACTTTAAGATTGATAGTGTACTCCGGTACAGTGGCACATGTATAGTCACTTGCCCTGATCATTTTTCCACTATACTGACCGTTTTCTTCCTGATTTTTTATATAAACAACATAATTTACATTGGAAAGTCAACTGGAGACCGGTACAGTGTGATCTACAAATTTGCTTGCCCGATAGAAAAAAACACTGGACTCGGACATCGGGCAATGGGTTATTTCCTTCCCTGGATAAGTGTAAATTGGCACGGATCCCATGGCTGAACCTATGATTACCCAATGCCCTATAGAAAGTGGTCAAATGTAACATGTTATATTTAGGATTACATTTTCTTTGTAAGTTCGTTTGTTGTTTTACGCTGCACTCAGCAATATTCCAGTTATGTGGCAGCAGTCTGTAAATAATCAAGTCTGGACCAGACAATCCAGTGATCAACAGCATTGAACTATAATGACCGGAAATCTTTTACCTGTAATATTACCTGAAATTATTATACTGTAATATTACCTGAAATCATTTACCTGTAATATTACCTGAAATTATTAACCAGTAATATTACCTGAAATTGTTTACCCATAATATTACCTGAAATTATTCTGTGATGTAATATTACCTAAAATTATTTTTGTGATGTAATATTACCTGAAATGATTCTGTGATGTAATATTACCTGAAATTATTCTGTGATGTAATATTACCTGAAATTATTTTTGTGATGTAATATCACCTGAAATTATTAACCTGTAATATCACCTGACATTGTTTACCTGTAATATTACCTGAAATTATTCTGTGATGTAATATCGCTGTAGGTCCTGACTCCTGTTTCCCTTGTTCCAGACTGCTGGTGAGATGCAGGTAGCTGGGAGACAATAGTGTGGATGCACTGTCACAGATGAGGATGCTGCCAGCTGGATGCTGGAGACTGGAGCAGCTGCGTCTCTTGTGTGTCTTGTGGTGCCCTAGTATCACCATGAAGAGATATTGTTCTATAGCTGTTACACAAATTTCTTTAGATTCTTTATGACAACATTTTTAACATAACAAAAATCTATCCCCAATGGCTGAATTAGATCCAACTGCTTTGTCTGTTGACCCTGAAACAGCTCCACCCATTGCCCCACACACAGGCACACAAGCCACTGCCACGCCCACAAACACACAACCAGCGACCCCACCCATAAACACACTTTCCGTCGCCATGCCAACAAGCACATCAGAGTGTCAGCTGTGCAGATGTTTTCAAGATGAAGATTTTTGTAAAGCCAGACAGATGGTTAGAGAAAGGAATAAGAAGATATTCGATCCACACAAAAGAACTGTTTACAATCTCGTCCACTTCTACCAGACTTACCTCAATTCTAAATCAGACGGCTTAGATATCCTTAAATCTGATTTGTGGAAAATCCCCCTGATCAGCCAATCAGAAACTAGATTACAATTACTGGACATACTGAGACTATTGCTAGAGGCTGGCCTTGACGCCAATGTCACGACCGGGTCAGAGACGCCACTTATGGCGGCGGTACGGACTCATGATGAGAGTCTGATACTGATTCTGTTGCAGCATGGCGCTGACCCAAACTTGTGTGATGGTCGTGAGGAAATGAATGCCTTTGCCCTGTCAATCATTCTGAATGATGTGTCCACAGTTGAGCAACTGCTGCATTATGGGTCTAGCATCAACGACGTCTGCTGTGGAACCATGACACCATTACAGCTGTCAATGAACAAGAGCGTGCACATCTCCAAGCTGCTGTTGCAGAGTGGTGCCGATATTCAACAGGTGCTGACGATGCCGTCTGCCCATGAGGTACAAATCATGGTACCCCCTCTTGTCCAGGCCGTCAGACGTGGGAATATTTATCTTGTGTCTGTCCTCCTTGAGCATGGAGAAGACGTCAACCAGACGTATGGCGATCACACAGAGACTCCGCTCCACCTCGCTGTGAAGAACTCGGACTACGCCATGGTTGAGATGCTCATCCAGTATGGAGCCTCCCTGAATAAACTTAGTGGGCGGGGCCACTCAGCTCTTGGCCTGACTCTGACGTCTGGCACCACGGGGAACAACAGAATAGCTCGGCTGTTGTTGAAGTCGGGCTGCAGTCGGAGGAGAGACACCATCATCTCCTTGTTCCAGAGGTTCTATCCACCGATATTTGTTGCTTGTTTCATGGGGAATATAGACATTGTTGATTTGTTGATTGAAGAAGATGAGGCACTCTGTGATGCCTCTAGGGTAGTGTGTGGAGTTCAGAACTTGACACTGTCAGGAGCTTCTGTAAAGAAGCATGTTAGTGATGAGGAAGAGACTGAAGTTGAGAGAGCCTTTGCTACGAAACATATACAAACAAAATCAAAATTAAAACTGAGGCCCAAATCCACCAATGAACCTGGATCCATGTTGAACTGTACTGCCTCTGATGGTTGCTCTCCAATCGTCATGGCCGCCCTAGGAGGTCATCATGACCTTGTGAAACATCTCCTTCATCTCGGGGCAGATCCTCACATCATCTGCTGCCATGGCAACCTGGCACATGCTGCAGTGCTGAGTTCGTGTGCAGAGAGTATGGACTTGCTGAAGCTGGCGGTGAGTCTGGGCTGCAACTTGAACCAGGTGAACGAGTACGGGAACACACCTCTCCATCTCTCCGCCCGCATCAACCTCCCCGACGTCTGCCAATACCTGGTGGAGCAGGGGGTGCTCCTCAATGTCCGGGACAGGTTCGGGGAGACGGCGCTGTCTGCCAGTGTCTACTTCGGCTGCGAGGACAACTCCCGCATCCTCATCCAGCAGGGCGCCGACCTCAACATCGCCGACTCCAGGTATGATACTTCGTGATGAAACAGTTGTTCGCCATAACATTATCAAATCAAAATGTATTGCAAGACTAATAGATATTTAATGATATGTACGTATTAGTCTATTCAAATAACATTTCTATCATCTTAGAAATTGTTAGACTTTAGAGTTAAGTTTTTTTTTAATGGTTCTGTATTAAACAGAGGATACTTAACACCCTTCGTGTAATGCCATTTTTATTAAATGAGTTAATGATTTGGTATTTCATGGAAGCGTTTAGTTTTCTGTTTATTACTCTCCAATATAAAATGATAGAAACTGCCTACAGTGTGATGACTTTCAGCTTTGCATGAGTCAAATTTTATGTCATAATTATTGCCACACATTCAGATGAAGGACCTGTCATCTGTATTAGGGCTTTAGTTCCTACACACTGAAATAAATAAAAAAATGACCCTGTTTTAGTGCTTGTCATAAATCAACCCTTCCAGTGTTGTTAAACAATATTTTTCTCAACCCTCCTAAAAAAGGCAAAATATAAAAGAATATTATAGCATAGTTTACCTAAATATGTACATTCTGTCATGACCTTCACTAAATATTTGTGCTCTTTTAAATGACATTCTCTATTAGACTGTCCTATTTTTGGCTTTCTCTCTTTCTCTCCCCAATTCCTCTGACTGACCCTCCCCTGTAATAAATGCTGATCACAAATGCCTTGTTTAGAGTTTTCATCAATGGCTAGAAGAATCCAGTGATCATGGGTTTAGAATCAGGTTCAGTCTTTTTTGTTTGCTTTTAGTTTGAGTCATTAATCCCCTTTATACCTACCCCTCTTCCGTCTTTCCATTGATGTCAACTGAATGATGCTGTCAGACCTTGTTTGAGTCCTGTTCAGTCCTTTGACTATCTCCTCATTCTTGGTATAGACCCGGGAAGATCCTTGTTAGAACTGGCCTTCGTAAGAGGCGAGCAACAAGATCATGTGGTCAGGCTCACTGTCTTGGTTGGCACATGTCATTGTATGCCAATTGCGTAGATCAGTGCTCATGCTGTTGATAACTGGATTGTCTGGTCCAGACTTGATTATTTACAGACCACCGCCATATAGCTGGAGTATTGCTTGGTGTAGGCTGTGCTCATGGATATAACCAGGTGATTCCCATCTACAGTGGGCAGTGCTTCTTGCTTTCCCACCTGTGAAGGTCCGGGCTAGAATGTGCCTTCAGAAACCCATGCTTGTCGTAAGCGGCGACTAACGGGACCGGGTGGTCAGGCTCTCTGACTTGGTTGACATATGTCATCAGTTCCCAGCTGCACAGACCGATGCTCATGCTATTGATCCCTTGATTATTTACAGACCGCCGCCATATAGCTGGAATATTGCTGAGTGCGGCGTAAAACTAAACTCACTCACTCACTCTTGCTCTCCCCTTAGTTAGAAAGTGTTTTTAACTGAAATATATTTTCAAGCAGTGTTAAGTGTAGTTTGATGTGAACTAGATTTTAGATGCACTTGTTGAGGCAACTGCCTTTGTTGACTCAGAACTATCTAGATCAGTGCTCATGATGTTGATCACTGGATTGTCTGGTTCAGATTGATTATTTACAGACCGCCGTCATATAGCCACTGTAATCAAATCATTACAGAAATGGACATAATAAGCGGATCAAAAACATTTTGTGTACAGTATGTTGACACATCAATGAATAACTCAAGACAATTTCAAAACATTACGTGAACATTTGCAGTGTATTCAGACTTTTGACTTAAGTATCTACTGTGACCACCCCGAGCGGCAATAACTGCAGCACAGCGTCTATACATGGAGTGCACCAATCGATTGGCATTGGCACCTGGAACCACACTCTGAGAAAGGCCTGGTGCAATAAATTGGCTGTGTTCGGCCTTGGTATGACATTATTCAGTCTCCCCTGAATTTCATCCCAAAGATGTTCAACTGGGTTTAAATCAGGACTAAGGGCTGGCCACTGCATAATGTTGACACCGTTCTGCTGTAGGAAGTCCTGTGTAGCTCTGGCAGTATGGGCCCGGGCGTTATCATGCTGGAAACTGTTGTTCTATGACGTGCGAAATGTGGTATGACGTGGGGTCTGAGAGCTTAGTCGATGTAGCGCACCGCTGTGATGCCGTCTCCTCTCCCTGGACCAAGGTTCTGGAACACCACAGGACCCACTCTCTGGTTCCGGCCTATTCCACCCCATACCATGATGCTTGCACCTCCCCATGAGTCTCTTTCCATAACTCATTGGTCTGAGTAACGCTGGCCACATCGTCGCTATATTTTTGTTCTGCCATCTGCAGTTGATACGCAGTACCGACTCTCATCTGTGAACAAAACAGTTCTCCACTGCCTTTATCGCCAGTTTTGGTGTTTTAGGGCAAACTGTAGATGTTCACCGATGACGAGGGGTAAGGATAGGTCCACGGTAAGGTGTACGGCAATGGAGGTTCCCGCTGTTAAGACGTCGGCGTACTGTATCAGTACTGATTGGTCTTCCGTGTGTTCCCACCGTCTGGCGTGTTGTTTCGGATGCCTGCATGAAGGGATTCTGTACATCCTGTCGCACAACATGGCGGTCTTGTCGTCTTGTGGTCACCCTTGTTCTGCCAGTAGGAATGCAATCGTTTGTGGTGTTGGTGGCCCGGAAACATTGCTGCATCCTGTAGATGGTCCAAACGTTGACCTGGAAGTGATTGGCAATGGCTTGTGCCGTGTGGCCAGCTTCAAGTCTTCCTAGCGCCTGGTTCCTCTGAGCTGTTGTGAGTTGCAGCATCCTGCTGACGTTGTAATGTGAATGTTTCAACCAGGTTTGGGGGTGCATTTTATAGGGCTGTTCCTTGTAAACAGCACGGCAGCATGAATTGCATGAAAAACATGGAGAACACCGTACCATCGCCGAGATGTGTTTTTGAGACCATTTCCTGGGCTCCATTCTGAGTTTGGGAAGGAATGTCTTTGCTTAGGTAAAGTTGGAGATGTTGTCAAAAGTATACAATCAAAACATTAAATGAGTTTACAGTTATCCGTTTCTGCGACGGAAAATTCCAAACTGACATTTCTTTAGCTACTTAGTATATATGTGCAGAACTGCTGTCTATCCCCCAACGTTAAAAGTGTTAAAATGTGAAATAGTTTTTTCAAACAGCGTTAATGAGTGAGTTTGGTTTTACCACGCTTTTGAGCAATATTCCAGTAATAGCAGGGTGGGGGACACCAGAAATGGGCGTCACACATTGTACACATGTGGGGTGGGGTAGCCTAGTGGTTAAAGCTTTGGCTCGTCACGCCGAAGACCCGGGTTCGAATCCCCACAGGCGGCGTAAAACCAAATTCAGTCAGTCAGTCAGTCAGTCGTCAGCATGACGAGTGGACGCTTTAACCATTAGGCTACCACAGCATCAAGGTAGTCCACTCAGTGTTCGATGTGAACTAGGCTATATGTGTATTTTTACCCTGTTGATGTGAACTAGGCTATATGTGTATTTTTACCCTGTTGATGTGAACTAGGCTATATGTGTATTTTTACCCTGTTGATGTTTCAGTGGCACCACAGCCCTGTACTGGTCCATCTTCAACTGTCGCGAGCCGACATTGCGCCTGCTGCTCTGTGCCGGAGCATCCTTTACCCCAGAGCAGTTCACCAAGTACCCCCGGAACCTCAAGGTCATGAGGAACCAGCAGCTGGTGACCTTCATCCAGGAGAGTGTGTGTCAGCCAAGGTCACTTGCTGCCCTGGCTGTGTTCCAGGTCCGTAAGGTCATCTCTGGGGTCATGGAGGGTCGCAGTGTCAAGGACAGTGTCTCACAGCTTCCTGTGCCAGATAAGGTCAAGGACAGTCTCCTGCTTCTCAACAGTGTGTGACCTGTGATAGAATGACCTTATCTGTCAACAGCATGTCTCTCAAGCAGCTTCTGGAGGTTTATTGTTTGTTTTCTGACAAAACAGATGAATCTTCGTTGTCTGGAAACTGTGTTTATTTCATATATATACAGGTATTATTTTTGTCAGTATTACTATAATTATTGCTCTCTTTTTTTAATTATCATCATATAATATTTTCATAAACTCCTGATGTGATCATTTATGTGATTGGTGGCACAGACTTTACCTTTTGTTCCAGTACACGCAGACAGATAGTCGAGGCTGGGTATTCTCAGTCATTGACAGTATAATTAGTTTGTTGAAGCACCCAGGAAGTGTGCAGTGTGTATGTCCCAGGATCCATCTGGGTGCTCTGACATATGAATATTTAATCTTCTTCCATTATCTTGAAATGTTAAAAAATCAGAATTAAGCATTTCTCCCAGGGATATTGTTATTGCTATTAATAAGGCTTGAGAGCTAATAGCCTGAGACCATGTATATTTGTGTATGTGTTTGAATTCTTCTTTAGGAATGATCACTAAAGAAGATTAAATTTCAATAATGTTTCATCTTTGGAAAGGTGATTAGGGTTGAGTTAACATTGGCGGATCCAAGGGGGACAACCTGTTTGAAACTTAATAACGACCACATTAAAGTTGCTGTTTTGCATTGGCAGGGTGGGTGGGTGTTGGTCAGGGGCTTCGAAATCCCCCTTTTGAAACTTCCTGGATCCGCATATGGTTAACATTATGATATTAAAAAAACAGTTTTGAATTAACACATAACCTTAAATATCAATGTTTTGAATAACATGTCAGTATGCTCTTTTACATGTGTGAAAAAGAAGCTAAATCAGTGATGTCTTTTGCAATATGCTTGCCATATGCACATGGTATGAAGTCCCATGTAAACAGATTTGTTTTTACAACTTGATTGTAAATTATTGTAAATGACTGTACATTGTTAGCCACATTACAGGAGACAATCAGAGATACGCTGTGTTTCACTCAGACTTGGCATTTATGCAGAACCAGTCTGCTGGTGAAGAAGACAATAAATTCCATACCATAACTGTTGTATTGTTTGTGACTGGCTGAGATTCTGTCATGTTCAGTGTATCCTGTCAACATGTGAAGGTACATTCCTGAGATTCTGTCATGTTCAGTGTATCCTGTCAACATGTGAAGGTACATTGCCGAGATTCTGTCATGTTCAGTGTATCCTGTCAGCATGTGAAGGTACATTCCCGAGATTCTGTCATGTTCAGTGTATCCTGTCAGCATGTGAAGGTACATTCCTGAGATTCTGTCATGTTCAGTGTATCCTGTCAACATGTGAAGGTACATTCCCGAGATTCTGTCATGTTCAGTGTATCCTGTCAACATGTGAAGGTACATTGCCGAGATTCTGTCATGTTCAGTGTATCCTGTCAGCATGTGAAGGTACATTCCCGAAATTCTGTCATGTTCAATGTATCCTGTCAACATGTGAAGGTACATTGCCGAGATTCTGTCATGTTCAGTGTATCCTGTCAGCATGTGAAGGTACATTCCTGAGATTCTGTCATGTTCAGTGTATCCTGTCAACATGTGAAGGTACATTGCCGAGATTCTGTCATGTTCAGTGTATCCTGTCAACATGTGAAGGTACATTCCCAAGATTCTGTCATGTTCAGTGTATCCTGTCAACATGTGAAGGTACATTGCCAAGATTCTGTCATGTTCAGTGTATCATGTCAACATGTGAAGGTACATTCCAAGATTCTGTCATGTTCAGTGTATCCTGTCAACATGTGAAGGTACATTCCCGAGATTCTGTCATGTTCAGTGTGTCCTGTCAACATGTGAAGGTACATTCCCGAGATTCTGTCATGTTCAGTGTATCCTGTCAACATGTGAAGGTACATTCCCAAGATTCTGTCATGTTCAGTGTGTCCTGTCAACATGTGAAGGTACATTGCCGAGATTCTGTCATGTTCAGTGTATCCTGTCAACATGTGAAGGTACATTGCCGAGATTCTGTCATGTTCAGTGTATCCTGTCAACATGTGAAGGTACATTGCCGAGATTCTGTCATGTTCAGTGTATCCTGTCAACATGTGAAGGTACATTCCTGAGATTCTGTCATGTTCAGTGTATCCTGTCAACATGTGAAGGTACATTCCCAAGATTCTGTCATGTTCAGTGTATCCTGTCAACATGTGAAGGTACATTGCCGAGATTCTGTCATGTTCAGTGTGTCCTGTCAACATGTGAAGGTACATTCCCGAGATTCTGTCATGTTCAGTGTATCCTGTCAACATGTGAAGGTACATTGCCGAGATTCTGTCATGTTCAGTGTATCCTGTCAACATGTGAAGGTACATTCCTGAGATTCTGTCATGTTCAGTGTATCCTGTCAACATGTGAAGGTACATTCCCAAGATTCTGTCAGGTTCAGTGTATCCTGTCAACATGTGAAGGTACATTCCAAGATTCTGTCATGTTCAGTGTATCCTGTCAACATGTGAAGGTACATTCCCAAGGTTCTGTCATGTTCAGTGTATCCTGTCAACATGTGAAGGTACATTCCCAAGATTCTCTCATGTTCAGTGTATCCTGTCAACATGTGAAGGTACATTCCTGAGATTCTGTCATGTTCAGTGTATCCTGTCAACATGTGAAGGTACATTTCCAAGATTCTGTCATGTTCAGTGTATCCTGTCAACATGTGAAGGTACATTCCTGAGATTCTGTCATGTTCAGTGTATCCTGTCAACATGTGAAGGTACATTGCCGAGATTCTGTCATGTTCAGTGTATCCTGTCAACATGTGAAGGTACATTCCTGAGATTCTGTCATGTTCAGTGTATCCTGTCAACATGTGAAGGTACATTGCCGAGATTCTGTCATGTTCAGTGTATCCTGTCAACATGTGAAGGTACATTCCAAGATTCTGTCATGTTCAGTGTATCCTGTCAACATGTGAAGGTACATTGCCGAGATTCTGTCATGTTCAGTATATCCTGTCAACATGTGAAGGTACATTGCCGAGATTCTGTCATGTTCAGTGTATCCTGTCAACATGTGAAGGTACATTCTCATGTTGCCATTGCATGTGTATCCCATCTACAGCTTGTATCTTGAGTTTATGAATTATGATACCAATGTGCAGATGTTTACACAATGTTCTAAATGAAATCAATATTTAAGGAATGGCTGTATGTTTGTGCTGCCTGCTATGAATTACTGTAGTGTTCTTATCGGTTGCAGAAATCAGGTCGCAGAACACAAGATACAGTGTTCATACTGTTATTTGTTATGTCAAATTAAAAAAAACCCAGTATGTTAACCAGTAAATCTGTATGCAGAAGAATTCTCTTTGAGACCAGCCAGCTACACGGAAATATTGAGATTGTTTGTATTAAGTGCAGGATTAGGTTTTGTTCTTAGAGAAGTTTTACTGATGAACAATCGAAGTATAGTGGGTGGACACCACGGCATACTACAGATAAAACACTTCAGAATAATAAAACATTCCTGACAACGAATTATTATCGAAGCACAATGATTTGAACAGCCACTGATAAATTGACAAACAATGTAACCAACTTCCAACATTAAAACATAGTCGCAAGCAGCGACGTTGGGCTCCATGGACCTTTCTCAATTTGCCTTTTTCTTTCTTTGCAAGATTTGCAGCCAAATGATTATAAATGCCTAATGAAATGTTAGTACTATTTTTCGTTTCTACACTTTAGGATGTCAGTGAGGAAGTTTTAGGGGAAATAATTCTATTTGCCCAGTTGACAACTGGCGAAAACTCAACCGCCACTATCTACAACTGTTACCTGGAGAAGCGATAGTGCAAGACAATCATGACAAGACCTTAGGTCGCTTCCATCAAAGCCCGCCTTCATAAAACCTATGCAGATTGATGAGACAGATTATTCGACAATTGCCGTTAGATTAAAAATTGTTTTTTCAGTAAATTTTAATGCTCAACGCACAAACTTCAGAAGACCCAATTGTCACCAAAAGGGCATTGCTTTTTGGGCATTTGAAAAATTATATTTATTAAAAATAATATGTATCTAACGACCAATCGGTGATCACTTTAACGTGCACACATATGATCAGCAAACTGTTGAGGTACATATTGCCAATTTTCATTGTGCTCTGTAGAGAACTGATGAAGATAAAAACTGTAGTGAGCAAAATCGAATTTTACTTATCCCTCCGTTGCCTTCTGAGCTATACGACTGCAAATGGTACTATAAACGGAACAGATAGCTTACATGCACAGGCTAATTTTGTTCGAAATCGGACGGCTGCTTTCAGAGTTACAGGTGTTTGAAGTGTATGTGGGGGCTAGAAATCACCAAAAACACCTCCATCACACGCTAGCGGATCTCTGAAATACAGTCAAGGTCGGGGGTTCTTGCACCTTGTAAATAGTTTCTTCGGAGGAGTCTAGAACAGTCTGTAGCTCTGTTGTCCCTGGGTCTGCAGTCAAAACAATTAGACTTCTAGAATTGACAGGGCCTGAGCTGTCAGATGTCCACTCAACATTTTATACCGTTTTTGAAAAGTTTTTTTTTCAGTTTTCACATGGTAGGTTTACTTTCGTGAAGAAAATCGTGAAGAAGTGAATTTTTTTAAAGAGAACTTTGCCTCAGAAGTAGCACTCAGTATGGCGGCCATGGAAGGTACATGTGGTCACTTCCTGGACATAACGTATGGAAATTTTGGAAGCTCTGCAGCTGATAGTTCGATCTCAGCACATTTTGGGAGTAAACTACTCAGAAAACTTAAAAGACATGGCTAAAACTTTGTAGCTGTTAAACGGGCATGTTTGCGACTTCAGGCAAAATTGTTGGGAGTTGTATTACCCAGCTGCAAATTGGAAGTCTTGAAACCATTGGTTCTGGAGATATTTGCTTTCAAACTTTGCACTTTTGGAATTAATATTGAATTATCTGCCATTTGCTATTGGGCCTAGAGTCTTGCATTTTTGGCGCTCGGAACCTTAGAACAATAAGCGACTCTGAACACTGGTTTAGGAACTATGTTTGGTACGAAAAACGGTGGAATAATAAATAATAATAATAAACCGAACGATTACCAAAGGTCTCCATGCCTTGAAGTATGGAGACCTGATAACAATATAGCACTTGCTTAAGAAACCTTGAAGTATGGAGACCTGATAACAATATAGTACTTGCTTAAGAAACCTTGAAGTATGGAGACCTGATAACAATATAGCACTTGCTTAAGAAACCTTGAAGTATGGAGACCTGATAACAATATAGCACTTGCTTAAGAAACCTTGAAGTATGGAGACCTGATAACAATATAGCACTTGCTTAAGAAACCTTGAAGTATGGAGACCTGATAACAATATAGCACTTGCTTAAGAAACCTTGAAGTATGGAGACCTGATAACAATATAGCACTTGCTTAAGAAACCTTGAAGTATGGAGACCTGATAACAATATAGCACTTGCTTAAGAAACCTTGAAGTATGGAGACCTGATAACAATATAGCACTTGCTTGAGAAACCTTGAAGTATGGAGACCTGATAACAATATAGCACTTGCTTAAGAAACCTTGAAGAAAGTGAGGACGTTCACCAAAATGATGGAAAAACCCTGTTAAGTACAGTAAATATAAGGAAACATGCATACTATTTTTTGGAATTTTTTATAAAAATGCAAATAATTTTTGGAGCTCATAACATTCAACATACTTGTGATCATACATCCGCAGTAATGTTGCTTTTGTCTTTAATTTGCTTTTTGTCAAATTCCGTGAAAAACGGACTCCATCACATATGACAATGTTTTTGTCCTTTTTATAAAAAAGCTCCGTGGTCAGTGTAGCCTTGAGAGAAAGACTTCAGTTATAATTTATCTTCTCTTTTGGCATATGTTTGTGATTAGTAGCAAGAAGGATGTCAGAACCCTAATGCATCTTCAAATGCATCAGTACAGCACCAGTGTCATCACGGCCAAGCTTGAAGGTTTCTGAAAATCATGGAGTACTGGAGAATTCAGGAGGATGGCTTCAATGATATCATGAGATGACAAATG